ACTCAGGGAGAGAAGAGATGCATTGCTTGGCGGTTGTAAGGAAGCGCAGCTAAGTCCAGACAAACTTCCTACCCGAGTTTGAGCTGAACACCGATAAAGCACCCAAATGTGGGCCAACTCAATCACAGGACAATTATACGTTTTCAGTGCTTTTTCTACATCATTTTTGTGAAGCAACACCCCCTTTTTTTTGTCTTGAAGCTGTGTCCCCACATGTCTATGCGGTCTGTTAGGTGTGTTAAGCACTGCTATTTATCGGGAGACTAAAAGTTAGAGATGTGTGTGTATGGAGTGAGTTTTTTTCTTCTATTTATCTACTTATTACGTGAAACAATTCTGTAAATGTTTAAAAATGTATTTAGAAATCAAATGGGGTGTGGTGGTGCATACCTTTAATCCTAACACTTGGGAGGCCAAGGCATGTGGGTCTCTGGGATTGCTACCCACCCCCGCAAGTGGGAAAACTCTCTCAATCCCTAGAAACTAAGTCGAGTGTAGTAGTGCATGCAAGAAACACTGGCACTAGAGGATGAGGAAGGTAGGTGACATTTGAAGCTCGCGTGGACTACATAGCCATTATCCCGAGCAATTTGGCAAGGCATCATGTTTTGCTAGAGAGAAAGAGAAAAGTATGGCTCAGCGATGAGGAACTTGCTGAGTGTGTACACGGCCTGGAGTTGGTATCCACCAGGAATTGTTAGAGAAGATGAGTAGACTCACTGGGTAGACCAGACTGGCCCCAAACTCACAGACATCTGGCTGCCTCTGCCTACCGAGTGCTGGGATTAAAGGTGACTGCCACCAATGCCCAGCAAGTCTCTGCTTTCTTACATATGTTTTGTAACATTTGTGACATTTCAGAATCCAGGTCCTAATGATTTTGATGTCCTTGTAATATACGAGACAGGACATTTTAGTGGTTGGAGGAAGGGACAATGTGGGGAGACTCTGGATAAAACCATAAGAAACTAACGCAGACGAGTGGCTTTTGACTCGGCAAGGGCCTCCATCATCTCCTTTGTTTACTCGTGGGCTCATCTCATCTGTTTTGTTGGATATTGTGAGGATTTGAGATGCGGGACGAGATAACCTATAAAGCTTCTACCTGAGCCTTTAAAGTGCTCCTTAAATCTCCACCACAGCTGAGGCGAATGTTCAGAGGCGCCCACAGTACTGTAAACAAGGTTCCTTTCTAAGTGCCCGCCACCATGAGACACAGCCTTTCTGTTCCTAGATGTTTACTTATGAGAGCCGAAAACATGTTCACGGAAAGAGTCCTTCACAGATGTCCTTAGTGGCTTCGTCATATCCCGGAAACGGAACTAACACAAGAGGTGCACGTCAAATATTTAGTATTACTCCGCAGGAGTAAGAAAGGGTTGATCTGTTACTGCAGTGTCGGTGGTGAACCTCAGTATAATTATGCTGATGGGAAGAAGCTGTGGGGGGGGGGGAAGACACACCACGTTGTGATTCAATTTATAAAACCTGTAGTATAGGCAGGTAATTGCACTCCGTAGTCTAATTTTAAAGCAAGAAACCCTGCAGCAAACATTGTGAGTTCTCAGAACTTGGTTGAGTTATGATGGAATTGCAGCCCAGTTAAAGCTAACATTTAAAGAAACCAGCATTTTTCCTTCTATAAAGTAGGGGAGGCGGGAAGTTTAACTAAATGGATGGTAGATTATCAACCCTGGGGTTCTGTTAAAGTAGATGAGTGTTTGTCATTTTGTTCCTTTTGGAAGGAATACAAAAGATTTTGTTCCGAGTCCTGATTTTGACACCTTGATCTGGAAGTTGTTTGGATCTATTTGCTTGGAGATTTACAGAGAGTGCAAAGGTGTTAGAGACTTTTAGCATTGTTAGGTGTTTGGATTCCTTCCAAAATGGCAAACACTCATCTACTTTAGCAGCAGAACTCCAGAGTTGGTTGATAATCTACCATCCATTTAGTTAAACTTCCTGTCTTCTCTACTTTATGGAAGAAAAAATGATTTCTTTAAATGAGGAACTACAGATGAGGGACTTGTGTTGTATCTTGTTTTTATACATTTATTCTCTTAACTTTTTCATATGTTTGTAAAAACGCAGTGGGCTAAGTTGGAAAAAGTATGATAAAACAACAGAAATAAATATGATAAAATGATAGGTTTTTCATGAAACCACAAAGGCCCTATGAATTAGAAACTAGAAAGGATGATAAATCCTGACTTTTACTCATCGTGGGGAAGGGCAATGTTCTGAAGTGATGATGAACTAGTTTTTCCTACTAGTGCAGAATCCAGGGTTCTAATGTCATTTTTGCTCAGAATCTATGATGAACAGAGTAGACAGAAAATTACTGTAAGATTTCCAATGAAGCAGTGCAAGGTATTAAAAAATAAACTTTGTTCCCTGGGAAAATGTGTTACCATGTAATTGAAGTAAAATAAAAAGCTTGAATCACAAGAGACATTGGTAACAGCAATTAAAATAAAGACCCCTATGTTATTTTTGTTTTGGATTCTCATTTGAAATTGCTTCAGTTGCTTTCAATTTAAAAAATCATTGCCTTTCTTTAAGACTACACAAGACACAATTGTTAAGTTAGAATAGAATAAGTACAAAATTAAAAATGAATGGAAAAGTGTTTTATCATAACCATAGTGCATATTCTATAATTACAAATACAGAAATGTGTAAGGAAACCTGCTACTAAATTATAAAGTTCACAGTATCTAAATAGCAAAGTTATAGGTGGACTTACCTTAATCTTGGCTGACATAACAACACCTTTGTATAAAATCTGAAGAAACACCTTTAAAATAGTGCCTCCCAACTTAATTCAATCATCTGAAACCCTTTAGATAAAAATATGGCTAAATTACTAAGCATGTTAACATAAAATCACTATCCAAAACATATTCCCTAGTTCTTTGTAAATATGGTAATATGTATTAGTTTATAGCTGGTGGAAAGAATCATGCTAATATTTCAATGATTAAGGGCTATGAAAACACAAAAACTTAGAATTGGAAAGAATTTGTGCCATCTTGAAAAATTAACCTAGCTGTACAAGAGGAGACAATTAAAGACAAGATCTCTTCGAGTAAGGATTGAGTAAGATTTCCCGAGTCAGCAATTTCTTTCTTTGTGTCTAAGTCTATTCCTATTTACTCATCTTTCATATTATCCTAACCACTAGCTTAAAGTTTTTCTCATTAATAAGCACGAGAAAAATGAGCTGAGTCTAAGAAGGCTTTTCGTGTGAGATCTTATGTACACTGCTTAAACCAAGACCCAATTTGGCCAAACATTAAGGACACGACCTTCTAGGGTTCTGCTACGAAATGTCTGTAAACACCATGAGATATCCTTACTAACGAGTATGCTGGCATAGCACCGTATAGAAAAGTTTTACCTTTAGATCCACCAGAGTTTGGAAGTGGTAGGAATGCAAAAATTCTCTGCAATCGGATAGTAATTTTCTTTTATTTGTAAAAAAAAAAAAAAAAAAAAAGTCAGAGTCCCAGTTGATAGCCTGCAAAACGTTCTAACTCAGGTTTGCCGCGAGAGGGAGACATAGTCCAGCATTTGCAGCGTTTGCCGCTGTCTTTTACTGTGGGGTTTTTTTTTTTTTTTTTTCCCTTGCAGGAAGGTGGTTTGCTCTCAACAGCTGCAGTCACTGTTAAAAGAATTGGGTGGGGGAGAGAGGGAGTCAAAAGCCTCGTGGTCCCGTCATCCCATTTTACTGCTTAACTCAGCCTGGAGTGTCAGAGTCCATCTCTCTCTGCCTTCTCTGTGTTTTGCACAGTGGCGCCAGTCTCTCCTAATGCGGTGGTCAGCCCGCCGTGGAACAGGGGGTCTAGGGTGGACCAGCGGGGTTCTGCCCGTTGTGTGACTTTCTAACACCATCACTAGTGCATTTTGACAGTACAACGCTTGTAGTGGGACTCAGAGAGGAGGAGCCTCTGACTGCTCTTGGCTCCTTCTTTTTCTCCCGGTGATCTGGATTCCTTTCCTCGGGCCCCTCCCCTTGTTCTGTTCTTTCTCACTCCCGCCTTTAGCGAAGTGACACAGGCGACACCTGCTCGCCTGTGCTGTCTGATGCTGGAACTCGCACCTTCGCGGTGGTGAAGGTGCCAGCGCATTCGTGACTGGGGGACAGCAGAGGGTCCCCTTCCTTGGAGCACAGGATGCCTTAGTGGCAGCGGGTGGGCTGCGAGGAGCTCGGCTGGCTGCGCTAGAAAGAGGGGTCGGGGGGGTGGCTGCAGCTGGCCAGGAGTTGCTGCTAACTGGACTCGGAGTCGTTGGCGCCCAGGTGTCGGAGAGGGCACCCGCGGGGACCTGTGTGCGAGCTGCGGGAACGCGGACGCCTCGCCGGGGGACGGCGGCTGAGCTCAGAGCCGGCGAGCCTGCTCAGAACCGGTCCACACCGGAGCCTCGCAGACCTGGGCGAGCCGGGGAAGTCGAGGAGTCTCACGACGGAGGCTGCTAGGCTGAAGGTGAATCATCGCGTCCAATTGCCTTTCCCCAGAGAACCCGGGGGAGGGCGGGAGAGGTGGGGGACGTGTGAGCGCGCGCGTGTGTGAAAGGGAAAGACGACGCGGGGCGAGAGGAAAAGTCTTCGCTCGCAGCTAAAAAGCAAACAAATCGGAGATGGAATAAGAGCGGCGATTGCTGGAGCCCTCCTGGATCCTGCTCGCAGTAGCCGGAGCGCACCGGGCGCATCGCCGAGGACAGCCGGGGCGACCGCTGGCGCCGCTGGGGGCTGTGGACACTTTGGCTTCCCCTCCTCAGTCAACAAACCTTTTGATTACTTTGTCACTGTGGGATAACGAACAGAGACCAGAGACCGGCCTCGCGCGCTGCACTCCCACTTGCTTCGGGGAGGGGACCCCCAGCTTGTATGTGAAGACACTGCCGAGCCCCCCTTTAGCCTTCGGAGGAGGCAGCACCCACACGCGCACTCGGGGTCACACTCGCTCGCACACACCGGTGGACTTCAAGTCCCTATGCCCCTGGATGGTGCCAGCGGACCAGCATCTCCGAAGCGATGCATGAGCGGTAAGGCTGGCGTCGGCCCGCGGAAGCTACAGGACCATCTCTAGGTGCTGCCGCCACCGGGACGCCCGGCTGCAGGTAGGTGCGAGCCGCGCCTTCGGGAACCTTCGGTCTTTGGGGACCCCAGTGGCCATGCGAGGACCACGCACCCCCGCAGCCTGCCTGGGCACATCTCTTCCCTAGGCTTTCTAGAGGGCCCGGGGCAGAAACGGGCTCGCCCCGGGAGACCAAGATGAGGGTAGATGCGGTCCCGCAGCCCGCGTGTCCCCCCACTCCCCCGCAGCCGGTAAGGACAGGGGCGGGGAAGAGGGACATCCAGAGAGGGACGGAGGCATGACAGGAGGCTTAGGGAGTAGGGTCCTCCCTTTCTTATTTCAAAAGGAGAGAGACCCAGGCGAGCATCAAAGTGGGGTTTAATTGGCTCTCTCACTAGTCCTGACTGGTGAGCATTTGAGACTTTTTCCTAAGGAGTTGGGGGCGGGGGTCGCAATCAAGGAAGAAGTCATCCGAGGACTGATGATACTCCACGGAACGCGGCGGGTCGCCTGTCTGGAATACCCACTTTCTGTCCACTTCTGACTAGTTAATTCTCAGGCCTGTCTGCAGAGGGTGGGCGTTTCCGTGGGGCTATTGATTCTTCCACATTTAACTATTTCCATCAAGAATCGCGTCCATAAGTTCCGGAGGCTCACCCGCTTGCTTAGAGGTTTATTTCTCTCTGGCAGCCGACTCGTTGTTACCGAATAAAACAGCTTTTGTAAATGCTACCACAAGACAGCCTTCGTAAAGGATCTTTCAAAGAAAAGCATTCAGGGGGAAAAAAAAAAGGACAGCTCTGGGTCGCGGGGAGACTAATGGCTTTTCATTCCTTTCCGGGCAGATGTCTTCCACATCTTGCTGGCAGCACAGGTTTTTTCCTACCCACCTGCTTTGCTGCCCCCTCCTCCTCCTAAAAGGCTAGGTGTCTACCAAGAGGTGTTTTCAGGCGATGGGTGCCTCTTTGCTATCTGTAGGCAATGCCACATTTCCAGAAACTGCCTTTGCAAAGGTAAAGTTTGAGGTCCCTCGCCCTATTTCTTCTGGAGCTGCCGGCTGAGCCACTCTGTCTCCACTGGAAGAGGTGCCATAGGCTTTCTAAGAACCCTAAGGGAGACCATGCTTTCCCATTCAGTGTTCCACTTCATGGCCAGTGTTAAACAATTGCCCCAAGTCCCTGGAATTGAAATATGTAGTTACTACAGTGACCAGCTCCTCCCACCCAGGGCTCGGTGAGTTTGGCTCATGCCAGTAAGATAGAGGATGAAACACCTTCCTTTTGTGAGTGTGAAACCTCCTCTTGAATTTCAAAGTCCTTCGTGGGTTTGAAAACAAACAACAAAAGCTCATCTCAATCCCCAAACCTATGTTTTTTTTTCTCCTCACTCTGAAGAGCAACTCCCCCCCCCCCCCCAATAATTTAGTGTCTGAGTGTCCTTCTCAGGACAGGGCGAATTTCAATGACTATGAACTGACTGGTAATTATCTGGTTCCTGTCTGCCTGGCCAGATTGTTGTGGACATCAGACTTCAGATGGTTATCAATTACCTCCTTTAAACTGCTCTATTAGTAGAGGTGACTTAACACAATTGAGCAATTAATTTAAGCTTTCCATGTGAAGTAATAAAGGAGATTACTGGCAAAGAAGATTAAACATACATTTGACGATGTTAAAGAATCAGAGCAGGAGGGATATTGTGTTTTCCTTTTTCGTGTTTGTACATGTTTGCCCAAGCTGGTGAGTCCTTTATAGTTTCAAACTCGGCACCAAGCATCGTACATTTCCAATAACAGATCAGACATATTTGATTCTTTTTCTACTTCGTGCTGTTAGGGATCTCTTCAGTCAATTGTTTGGATCTTGACCTTTTTAGAATCTTAATTTTAAAAGCCATCACTAACCACTTATAGGCCATCAGTAACCACATTGAAGCTTATTTTATTCTAATTTCCCCAATTTCTAGTGCAAAACGCTGGGTTGTATTATTTATATGCAAAAGGTTGGGAGAACACTGTCATTGCAAATTGAGTACTTAGGCACTGGGAGTCTTGCAAGAGGCAAGCAGAGTTTAAGTGCTGCCTTTTTTTTTTTTCCAAAATGGCATTTAAAAAACTGGAAGTTAAAAAAAAACTGATGAAAGTCTTGGTTATTTTCTTGCCTTTACAAAAGGTAGTCAAGTATGCTTAGCTTCGCATTTACGTACAGTGATATTTGATTTATGCTTCTTCAAGAGTCAGGAAACCTTTGTGTCAAAGCAAATACCTATATAATGCTACAAGTTACGCTTGAGCGAAACAGAAGGGCTCTGGGTCTGTGTGAGCGCATGTGTAATTTTGAATTGGAAAGACATTATCTACTTTAACAGTGACAAATTGGAGAGTAAAGATGCTTGTGGACCTGAATCTGTTTAGACACTGCATTATCTGCACTATAGTGTTTACCAACCACCAAGTTATAAAATGGGATGACGTGGCTGTAAAGAAAGGTCTATTTTTAGACATAGCCGCTTTCCCCTTTTAAAAATTTATAAAGTGACGAAACTTTGGGGTGGTATAACATTTTAGAGAGATTATTTTGCTTTATCAGAAAAATTTAGTAGTCCTGGGTTTAATACTTATAATACAGTATTTTGATGGCCATCTTATATGGCATCTCCATATGGAGATGAACAAAGTATATTTTAAAGTTGACTTAGCACTAACTGAGTCTTACGGATTACACTGTACAGGAGGGGTGATCTTTGTCTCTCCAGCATTTGCCTGGCATTTTTTTAAATCATGGCTCTCAAAAAATAGTACTATTGAATCACCTTCAAGTTGGGGTGTAATTGCAAACTGATGGATGTTTACTAATAAGGTTTGTAATGCGTGTCCCAAACGAGGAACTTGGCTACTTCTATTGTATTTTAAAAGCTGAAACTGAGTGCAAACAGCCCAGTTTATGCTTTAATTCTGCACTATTTTATTAGAGATACCTCATTAAGTAGCATTATTCTGCAGCTGTTTTGTTCATTGAAAATTCAAGCAAAAAGAAGGAACTTTGCCATGTAATGCAGTTTTGTTTTCTTGGTGATAAACTATAAATTGAGGTTAAAAATAAGCATCTAACATCATCTGCTTTGATCCATGCCTGATATTTACAAATGCAATTCATCAATCTGTTACAGAGAGAAGAAATTCATTAATACCAATGACTGTTAGACAGGAAGGCCAAGCCAGCCGAATCAGCATCATTTCTGGGCCTCTTACTTGCACAGTGTTTCATGGGATGTGTCTTACTCTTTCTTGAGTCACTGGTGGGGTAATGCTTTGGAATAGGTGAATTTGCCATTTGTTGGGAAATTCTTTGGAGCTTTAGCTGGAACACATTGAGTGAGCTATTTAAACATTCCATTGATAAAGAAAAGATGGGTGTATGAATTACCATGAATCTTCTTATAGAGCAGGTGTTTTGTTTGGAGTGTGATCTGAGATGGTTTATAGACAGTGGGACTAGCAAATAGACCCAGAAGTTTGACACTGACATGTTACATAGTTTCTGAAGTTCTGACTCTGTTTATTCCGTACAGTGTTTCAGAGTTCTTATCATGAAGTACAACTTCTCATTTTTGTCTTCTCCTTCTTTTCCTTATAGAAATTTAAAGAGGAATGGCTACACTTTCTAGACTATGAAGGAAGCAGAATTTAGATATATTTCTTGTGCATTATGTTTCTGTATAGTCTCTATATGCCCATATGGATGCAAATGTTTTTAATGGTATCCATGTAAAATAATGATTTTATATTAAAGGAGGCAAGAAAACTTTATTCAAGGTCCTTATTTTTACATATCTAGTTTTCTTAAAATTTATATGACTACCTATAAAACAACTGCATCTATAGTTTTACAAGATAATATATAGTTGAGTTTGACACTTTGATCCATTGTTATATGCAGCATATCTATTTTTGTTTATTCTGAGATACTTTTATTGGCTAAGTTACTAAAATATAAAAGTCGCTTTTTTTGCTGTCTGAAAGTGCATCTTGGGGAGTGTTGATTGACAGTAGCAGTGAGAGTTCCTACACATTTCAAAGCATAGGACCTGTCTAATTACTTCATTAAGCATATTTTTTCACAGCCCCAATGCAAACCTCACTAGTCACATTGCAATATACAATTGTGGTTTGTAAATGGTAGTCACAAATCAGCTGCACAGATATCATCCTCACACATTGTGTTAGGTTTCTAAAACCCACCTGCTTCCAATGAGTATATGTCATATGTATTTGTTGGATCTCACCGAGGACTGCAATAATAGATGCTCTATTCGCTAATTCGGTATCAATTTGGCAATTGATTGGCATTGCCATCAGAAAATACAGAACTTTAGTATGCTTGAAAATCAGGTGGCTAGTGAACACATAAGCTGCAAGGAGACTTCTAATTTGCTTACAATGATGCATATGAGGCTTGGGATATAACTAAGGAATCAGAGTATACTTGCCTATATTAGATGAAGCCCTGTTAATCTTCCTTCAGTCTCCTAAATTATTCCATAGTAGCTGTAATTGCTTTATGATTTCCCCTGAATGGCCTGTTAGCAAAGGTACATTTCCCTTTCCCCTAGCAATAGTACATCTAGTCATTCAATTAAATTTATATTTGTATTGCTTTTTCTTTTTCTATGAAGTAGATTTTGGAAACTCCTTACCGTGAGATCCAATAATGCAACAATGTTGCATTGCAGCAATTACTGCAATGGTAAACTCAGGACTTGACAACGTGGAGACAACCAGCCAACTTCATGTCCTTTGTGCTCATCATAGACTTTGCAGGACAAAACTGTACACGCAAAAGCTGAACATGCAGACCCTAGAGCACTTGAAGTAACTTTTGATGACGAGGCTTGCTTTGCTAAATATTTTCATTTTTATATTTTCCCCCTACAAACTAGTCAGTGTATAATTGCACCATGTGAATGGGCAACTGTGTTGCCCTTTAAAGGTCATGCAAAGATTCTAAACCTTCCAATTTGCAGTGTTAATTGCCTATGACCTCC